TATATATATATAATTTTTAATATATTGCAAACTCTATGGTTTTTAGTAGAAGATAGCTGTGTTCTTATGTCTACTTCTGCATTCAATCTGTGGCAGAAAGCCCCACTATTCGCTTAGGAGAGAAGGAGAGTGAAGGCAGATAACATTCTAGTATTATTAGGAAGACAGTTTAGACCACTCAAACCCCCTGAAAGGGTTACAGGGATTCTCAAGGGTGCTTAGAGTACAGTGTGAGAACTGCTAGGCGAGGTGAGCTCTAAGGCCCTAAGCATCCATGACTAGAGGGATTGGGTGCCTGGGACAGAAAGTGAGTGTTGTAGAAGGTCAGAGAGAAAAGAAGTCATCATGACCTCCTTGGTATGACCAAGGAGGCCTTCCTGGAGGAAGTGAACTTCGACCAGAACTATGAAAGTTAGAAAGAGGGGCCCAGAAGTTAGTGTATGTCGCTGAACTCCCATGTAGTTGACTGCGGTTTGAGTCCTAGACCCAGTGGCTTAAACTCACACCAAGTGCTTGTGCGTGCGTGCCCAAGATCCCGAGAGGAGAATGGAGGAGAAGGGATTGCGATGTGGCCATCCCCCCAGGGGGTGATTTCTTGCTTTCTGTCTCTCCGTCTCTCTCTGTCTTCCTGATGAGCACATGTACCCTATAGCAAAAATCTCTCCAAAAGACAAAGACAAAAACAAAAACAAAAACAGAAACAAATACAAGTTAGAAAGAGTATGGAGAAGAGGCAAGGGGAGGAAAGTAATTTAGCTGGAGCAGAGGGGTACACAGAGTTGGGAGAGCCTGCAAGAGGCAGGTGTGTGTCTTGAAAATGTCTCCAAAGACAGGGGAGAGTCATAGGAGAAGAGGCAGAGGAAGCTGGAGAGTTCCAGCTAGGCCAGGTAACCTGTGGCAGACACACCTAGGGAGACAGTCCGCCCGGCAGCCTGAGGCACCTGAAAGGTCTGAGTTACCTATTTCTGCACAGTGGGGAAGAGTCCTTGGAGTCTGGAAGACAGATCTGTAGGCTGTGGGCACTGAGAGGGATTGTAGGAGTGGGACACCCCTACGCTGGCCAGAGTCACTCAGCTCCTGGGAGCTGGGCTGGCCCTGCAGCCCCTGACGCTGTGGACTCTCCTTTTTTTTCCTGGTGCAGGCGGAGTCAGGAGCGTGTGTCTGTCCACCCCCATCGCCTCCACCCCAGCTTCGACTTCGGCCACCAACTGCAGACACCTCAGCCCAGGTATCTGGCTGAGGGCACTGACTGGTGAGTCTTTGGGGTTCCCAGGGAAGGGAAAAAGGAGGGAAGTCTTTTCTGGAATTCCCACTTTTCTTCACTTTGAATGTGCAGGAGGTCCTGAGTCTTCAACCTCGGCACCTGCTCCAGTCACCCTCAACTGAATGACCCTCCCTAGGCCAGATCCCAGCAGTTAGCTCAGATGTTCATGTGGCCCAGTGTTCATGGTCTTGCATGAGAAGAAGGAGACAGGGATACCAAACATTTCCCAACTCTAGGAGGTCTGTGAACCAGTGGTCCCTGTAGGAGGGCAGAAAGAGAATTCTGAGGAGTTAGAGTGGTCAGGGAAGGCTTCAAGGAGAGGGTGGGTGCCAAGGGATCCACAAAGTGCCAGCAAGGTAGTGCAGTGGGGGGTGGTCTGCGTAAACATAAACTCACATTGTATCATAGGGATGGAGACAGCCAGGTTGGAGGTAAGGATTGGGAGGAAAGCTGGGGAGAGAGATTGAAGGTTTCATTGCAGCTTGTAGACAATGGCCCTGGTGCAGTAGTCCCACAGTCTCGGGGGCTTTTGTTGCTTAGGGATATCAGCTTGCTTGACTTCGGATCCTGGATCCCATCGAACTCTGGTTCTAGCTCAAGAAGAACAGAAGTTGGTCTAAACAAGGATCAAATCAGAATCCTCAAATACTTTAAAAAGATAATGCAGTTCAGGGAACCAGCAGTTAGCGTAATGGCTATGTCGCTGGACTCGCATGTAGTTGACCGCGGTTCGTGTCCCGGACCCGGTGGCTTAAAACTCACGCTGGGCGCGTGTGCGTGCGTGCCCAAGATCCCGAGAGGAGAATGGAGGAGAAGGGATTGCTGTGTGACCATCCCCCCTGGGGGATGATTTCTCACTTTCTGTCTCTATGTCTCTGTCTGGCGAGCGCACGTGCCCTATAGCGAAAACCTCTCCGAAAAAATAAAATGATATGCAGTTCACTGAGTACTCAGAGAGAAAAGGCATCGCCTCTGTGACTTATTTTTAAATAGTTTAGGGGAAAAATGCCTAACAACTGTCTCCCTAGAGGTGTGTATGTGTGTATATGAATGTGGGAAACTGGAATTAAAGTATGAATTTATTTTTGATCCATGCTTAGTTTTTTATAATATTCATTTTCCATGGGCTTCTTGAAGATCTTTGGATACATTTATGCACATATATATGTATGTACATATATGTGTGCGTGTGTACATGAATATGTGTGTATATGTGAGCAAGCAAAGAGAAAAAGAGAGTCAGAAAGAGAAGGAAGTAGAAATGTAATCAAGGGCCAGCCCTGTAGCCTAATTGTTAAGGGAGTCAGATCCCACATTGCTGACCGTGATCCAAATCCCAGTCTAGCAGCTTGGCAAACATGCTGGGTACATGTGCATCCATGTCTCAAAGCCAGACAGGATGGAGAAATGGAGGAAAAGGTATTATAGAGTGGCCATGCCCCATTGAAGAGTGCTTTCTGCCTATTTCTCTGTCTCTTCATCTCTCTTTGGCAAGTGTGCCCACCACTTTGGAAAAAGAAAATGCAGTAAAATGGTTAATGTTTGAGAAATAAGGGTGAAAGGTATCCAGAAATTCTTCTAGGTTAAAAAAATATCGTTTTAGGGATCCAGCAGTTAGCGTAATGGCTATGTCGCTAGACTCCCCCATAGTCAACCGCAGTTCGCGTCCTGGACCCGGTGGCTTAAAACTCACGCAGGGCGCGTGTGCGTGCGTGCCCAAGATCCCGAGAGGAGAATGGAGGAGAAGGGATTGCAGCGTGACCATCCTCCCTGGGGGGTGATTTCTCGCTTTCTGTCTCTATATCTCTCTCTGTCTGTCTGGTGAGCGCACGCGCCCTATAGCGAAAACCTCTCCAAAAAAAAAAAAAAAAGACATCTAAAAAAAATCATTTTAAAAGTGTTAAAAAATTCCTTGAGTAGAAAGGATAAACTGTTAAAAAGGTTACTGTGTGGTCATTATCAAATTTTAGCCAGTGGTTGGGACCAGCAATTAGCGTAATGGCTATGTCACTGGACTCCCATGTAGTGAACTACAGTTTGAGTCCCAGACTCTGGCTTAAAAGTCACGCTGGGCACATGTGCTTGTGTGCCCAAGATTCTGAGAGGAGAATGGAGGAGAAGGGATTGTGGGGTGGCCATCCCCCCTGGGGGGTGATTTCTCACTTTTTGTCTCTCTGTCTGTCTGTCTTTCTGGCGAGCACATATGCCCTATAGCAAAAACCTCTCCAAAAAAAATTTAGCCAGTGGTTCAGGCAAACTGGCTTAGTCAAGGGTTGTTTTGGGGAGCCCTTTCCAGGGGCTCCTAGGAATGATTTGAAAGGATAGTTCCAGTTGATGGAATGCTAAGGGGCTTCTAGGTGTAGGAAATCCTGATTTTACTGCATTCCGTTGTCTCCAGCCCTCTGCTCATTCTCAGGTACACTTTCCGTTAAATTGGACAATCCCTAAAAAGATGGATCTCACCGCTGCCACCTTCAGCCCAGCCTTTTTCTAATTAGCAGTTTCAAATGAGGAAGATTTAATTGCCGTTTGGATTAAATTCTGTCCCTCAGCAGTCAAGTTAATTCTATTTAATTCAATCCAACATGCGTGGAGTTCTGCAGGGCCCTTGCAGAAAGCTGAGTGACTCCAACACACATACAGGGTCCATGTGGCCAGTCAGACTGCACAGGGGACATAGGTGGGGATAGTCCTGGAGAAGTTACAGGAAGAATGGGACAGATGTCAGCCCTGTTCTGCTTTCTCTCTTTAGCCAAATATCCCTCCTTTTTACTGTTTTCACCCACTGGGCCCTGCTTGCTCTAAGAAACAAAGAAGCCTGAGACCAGCCTGAGAAGCTGGTCTGTGTCATGACAGGGTTTGTGGAGAGGCCCTGCTTCTCCTACTCCCATCTAGGTTCTCCTCTAGGCCCTTTGTGCTGGTGATGTCCCCACATCCCAAGTAGGAAGTCGCTTCCACTGGAAAGGGTGACAATCCTTTCCTTTGTAATTAGCTGTGTTCCAGCAAAGGCCAGCCTAGTGACGAGTGAGGTTTCGGTAATAGTGATTATGCTAACTGCATCTCAACCGGTTTTCCAGAGAGGCCTCTTCTGCCATGAGGTGGGCAGCCTGGTAGTTGGATTACAGGCAATACAGGCTAGGAGGAGCTACCCTTGCCTCCACAAGAAGGCCCTGGGAGGGATGGCAGAGTGTCTGCAGCTCCCTCCCCTTCCCTAGGGAGTCATCAGAAAACCCTGAATTTTGCCCTAGGTTATTCTGCGTATTGGGCCAGGCCCTAAGCCTGAGGTTGCTTTGGCCTTTCCCTCTTACTTTGGAATATCTTAACCCTATCCAAGCAGCTTCTCTCAGTAGGCCTCCTGGTCTAGCGGGATAAACCCCAAATATGCTCTCTTTTTGGGTCAGGTCCAGTAACCCAAGCCTGACCTTGAGCTACAGCCCCACTGTTGCCGTCCTTGTCTTGAGCCTTTTCTGACTCAGCCCTTGCTTCTCAGTTCTGACTCTGCTCTCCAGTGGAATGGCACCCTGCCTTACCCCACCCCTAGCCCTGCCCAAACAGAGGGACCCAGGTACCTGGGCCCTATGAGCAGAGGTGTGGAGGATGAGAGCTTTCTATTGGCCTTTCCCTGCAGCAGCCCTGGTTCCTGCAAAGCCTCTGGACCTCACACCCCTATATAGCTAAATCTAAACCAGCCCAGAAGATGTTACTGGCACTTTTGGGGCCAGATCCCTGAAAAATACTTAAAGGTCTTCACAGCTATCAAACCATACCATGTTCAAGAACACTGAAAATAGAAAACAAAGTTTGGTTGGGTATTTAAATATAAATAGAAAAACTTATGCATTGAGACAAGGTCCACCAGTAATCACATACTATTCTTGGTTAACCCCATGGTTTTTGGCCTGAGGGATATTTTCATTGCCTCCTGCTCTCCACTCCCAAACCCAATCATATTCTCATCGGCTGGTGGCAACATCAGGAAGGCAGGAGACATAGCTTCTCTAGGAAGTAATGTCTCCTTGGGGCAAGTCTTCATACAGACTGCTTTGGGGTTAGTGAAGCTACATCCCTAGTTGAGGGAGCCTAGTTCCAGGAAGGAGTTTTCTGATGACCCGGTCAGGGCTGACCACGCCACACATGGGAAGGCCAAAGTAGCTTCTGCTTGTCCAGTTAGCATTTCTGGAATTGGAGTGATTGTTTCAAGTTCCTTGGGCTTTACTTTTGGTAGAATTCCCTAAATACCTCTTTATTGCTTTGCATTTGCTGGGTTGCTGGATGTTGCAAAAAATCAGAGCTTCCACCACTTGAAGGTGCCCTGTAGAACTCCTTACTCTGAGGTTGTACGGTGGGATGACTCCACACAAGTGTCTGGGCCCCTGATGGCCCAAACTGGCAAGACAAGGACCATGGATAAGGCACTGTTCTTCTTCAGCCCTTAGATGGACCTGTAAGGGCAAGGGTTGGACTCAAGGTTTTCCAGTTGGTTTCCAGCTGACTCCAAGAGTTTCACTCATTTTCCAAGTGACAGGCTTATCATGAATTAATGCAGGGATTCAGGCTACTAATGGCCCTTCATTTGTACAGTGTTTGGCAAGGGACTTTTGCTACCATTTTCTCATTTGATCCTGCCAACATCCTCTTGAGGAGCTATGGTTACAATAAATGTAGAGATAAGGCACAAAGAGGGGAGCTAAGACATTGTATTTCATTTGTAAATATTTCACTATATATCTCAAGAGGTTATTTTTCTTTTTCAGAGTTTTACTATAATACCAAGTATTAGTAGTTATGTAAGTCTAAAGAAAATTAACAATCTGTTTTATAAAATGCCACTTACATCTCATTTTATCTATATATTACTGGATTCCAATTGCTGATATTTTTCAAGGAAACTTTTCCACTTTTGTTCATGAGTGATATTGGTCTATAATTTCTTTTCCTCTTGAAATGTCTTTGTCTGATTTATTTTAGTCATTTCAATGCTTGCATCATTAAACGTTTGGGATGGGAGGGGTTGGATGGTGGCGCAGTGGTGAAAGGTAATGCTCTGTAAGGCTGACCCATGTGGGAAGGTTTCAGGTTTACATTCAGAAACCTCCATGTGTAGGCTGGGTATGCATGTGCCTATGATCTGGGGTCAGTTAAGGCTGGGGGATGATTGTGGCATCAAGACTCTGTGGGGAGCTCGCTCTTTGTCTCTGCCTCTTACGCTCTGTCTTTTGCTCATGGAAGTAGTAAATAATTTTTTAAATAATTATTTTATGTAACTTTATTTATTTTAATTTGACCAGAGAGAAACAGAGAGAGAGAGAGAGAAAGTGAGAAAGCAAACCACCAGGTCTGAGACTCGAATGCTGTCTGCCATGTAGGAGTCCAGTGCCCTTAACCACCATGCCACCTGCTGTCCCGAGGAAGTAGTAAATAATTTTTAAAAAATTGTTTGGGAAGGGCTTCCTCAACTATTTTCTGAAAGAGTTTGTGTAGGATTGATCAATATTTTTCCCCTTAATGTTTCAGAGAATCCATACAGTTAAAAAGAAAAAGGATAAATGTTTGGTTCTTTCCCTTTTTTTATTAGTTTCCATACTGAAGAATTGGCTCCCTATCATCCTTCAAAGAAAATCAACTTTTTTAGCATCATTGTGTCCTCCTGGATTTCAATCCTTTTGATGTGTTTTATTCTTTTGCAGTTCTGTTTACTGACATGCAAACTGTGCTAATGCTGGACAGGGGTAGTCTCTCAAAGGCGGTTCCTGAACTGTTGGCCATGACCCTAGTAGTGTTTTAGTAGATTCTTGCTTTTCGTTATGATGTTTCAATCTCACCTTGCACGTTTTATCCATAGACCCGAAATTAGCTATTTTCCAATTACCTGTTGGTTCTTCTTCAGTGTAATTAACTAATTGATTAATTTTTCAGTGAAGAGTTTTCCTCCACTTTTAGGAGTGGGAGGCTGTGGGCCAGAAGAGCTTTTCTGGCCTGGAGAGTTCGCTGTAGAGCTCTCTTTTGTTTTCTCAATGTGGTAAAATACCGACTGCTCTAGCCCTTTCAGTCTTCACAGAGCCCTTTCCTCCTCTGCGTTTCAACAGCTGTCACACACCCGCCCTCCCCAAGGGGAGGGACTAGTGGTATAAAGTCCCTTGCAGCTCTGGCAGTGCATGGTTCCACTCATAGCTCCAGGCTGAGGTCCTTTCTGCCACCTGTAGCTGAATCGCACCACCCTGTGGTTCACTGAGGCTGTGTCCCTGCAGGGATCTCAGTGTGGACGCCGGCTTGAGTCCTGCTCAGTTCCAGGTGCGGCCCATCCCTCAGCACTATCAGCATTACCTAGCGACTCCGCGAATGCACCACTTTCCCAGAAACTCCTCCTCCACGCAGATGGTGAGTGAAAGGCTCTGCCAGGAAATGGACTCTCTTGTTGCCTATTGGATGCCAATGGTGGGCTGAGGCCTGCGGTTTCCGTGTCCAGGCTCCCCTGTGCCCTGGCTCTCAGTCAGACCAACCAAGCTTTCAGGCTTCCCTCCCCTCCCGGCTCTTATTCCTGCTCTGGCTTGAGGAGGAATGCAAGGGAACCTGCTGCACTAGATGCTGCTGAAGGGAGTGGGATTGGGCACTGGAGGAGGGGAAGGGGCAGCATGGAAGATTGTGGATTGTGGGGAAAGACCTTGGGACAGGCTCGGGGTTAGGATCAGTCAGTGTAGGCCTGGGACTTCATATCACCTCTTTTAGTTACTCAGTAGGATTACTAAAACACAGGCTTCGGTTTGACTTATCCATGCAGTGGGAATGACGACACCTGCTGTGTCCATCTCACAGGGCTAGTGTGAGAGTTAAAGCAACCCCAGGGAAAGGCTCTGGGCCTGGTCTGCAGATCTACTTCTGCCTCATGCAGAGGGTAGGCCTTCTGCCTGCAGAGGGCTGAGTGTCATGGAAAGATCAGGTGGGGTTGGGAGACTTTGAGTCTAGCATTGCAATCCACATGGAACGAAAATGACGATATTCCATCAAAGCCTCATAAGACAGACTGAAAATCTTGTTTCCACCCAGCTTTGTGTTGCTGCCCTAAAATATAATTCCACCCTTCCACCTTTGTCCCTGTCATTTAGCCACTCTGCTCCTCAGTCTCCTTATTTGACCTGGGCAAGTAATCGCTGAAGTCCTTGTCAGCTCTGAGGTTCTGTGGTTTGTGTATGAATCACCAACTCTTAAGAATAAAAGAAGCAAACATTAATTGAGCATTTATTACATGCCAGACACTATTCTAAACATTTAAAGTATTTGATTCAATCTTCTTAACCCCATGCAAAAGCCCATTTATGGACTGGCAAGCAGGGGTAAAGAGGTTAAGTAACTGGCCCCAGAAGACACAATGAGTGAGTTGCAGAGCTATGATGGAAACCTAGCTCCTCTGATGCACAACCAGGTTAGAATCCGATAGGTGAGGCAGGGCTCTGAAAGTATGGGGTTACCTTCTGTCTCCTTTGAAAATTTTGGTATTTGACTTGGCATGGACTTTTGACTCAGTGTTAATTTTGACTTAAAAAAAAAAAACAAATTAAAATATTACTTGTCTCTATTACTGAGTCTTTTGGTGCCCCCTTAAGTTTTGTGCCCTCACCCTGGTCCTGGCCCTGGCCCTGGCCCTGGCTGTAGCCCTTGACCATCATGATGCTGTTGCAGACGTGCAGAGTAGGGTGGAGGGAATGGAATCTGTGGCCCAATCACCTAGGTTTCAGTTCCTGGTTCCCATTCTCTTTTCTGTAAAACTTGGGCCAATTACTTAAACTATTGTTCCTCATTCACCCCATCAGTAAATGGGGATAGTAATTGCACCCACTTTTTAGATCAGATGGGATCATTAAGTTAGTCATGTGAAGGACTTAGAACAGTGCCTGCTATGAAGTAAATGCCAGGTCAGGGTTAATTGTCACTTCGTGGGATTTTTTACTTCCTTCTGGGGCTGGTCCAAGCACAAGTTTGGTTCTTCATAAGGAGAGGGACACATGGGCATGAAGGATAGCACTTCTGCCCGCAGCATCTCTGGGGTGTGTTGACTGGTGGTTATAGGAGGAGGAGTTGCATGCTGGGCTCCTCGAGAAGCCTTGAATCTTCACTCTATCCAAGGCATTTTTCCCCCCAACAGGTCGTCCATGAAATCCGAAACTACCCTTACCCTCAGCTTCACTTCCTTGCTCTCCAGGGATTAAATCCCAGCAGACACACCTCTGCTGTGCGAGAGAGCTACGAGGTACGTCACTGTCTGGCACCAACTGGATTGGTGGAGTTGCCATTATCATTCATCATCTGTTCTCCCTCTCCCTTGCTGGGCAAGGCATGGGTGGTGGGAAGTCCTGGGTTGAAAGTAAGAGAGAATGAGTGAAGATATTGCAGTCTTTTAGCTTCACACATGGCTTCCTGATGGCTATATAAATGCTTCCTGCTAGCATCTTCCAGTACCTCTCACCATCTACATTGTGTGCATTACACATGCCCATTACACATGTCCATATTTTTCTCTTTGCAGGAGCTGCTGCAGCTTGAGGACAGGTTGGGGAACGTGACTCGGGGAGCTGTGCAGAACACCATTGAGAGGTTCACCTTCCCTCACAAATACAAGAAGGTGGGTTTGTTAGCAGGACAACCTGCATAATCAGGGAGTGTGAGGGGATTTGTCTACTTGCTTCTGGCCCGACTGTCTGAAGAGAGGCAAAGTCTAAAGTCCAGAAACCTTTGCTTTGGGTAGATGCTCTGAGGTTGTGATGCCTTCCTAGGGTATTAGCACTTGCCTGTGTCAAATGTGATCAAAAGGAAAGATGCAGGGAGGAGGGCTCTCATTATTATATGAAAAGGGCTGGGTATATGTGTGTTTATGTGGACTTGTGAATGGGCATATTATATATGTATGCACACATAGGTGTTTGGGCACCTCCATGTTTGTACGTCAATGAAGTGGGCAAAGGGATCAACTGCAAAGAAGCTTATTTGCCTAAGAAAATAATTTCAAGTTCAATCTCACATGTGGAAAAATGGACAACTAAGACTTCCAAGCAGGGCTTTTCAAACCTAACCTAATGTTGGGATCCCTCAGAGAGCTTTTAAAGCCACAGTTACAGTCTCCAACCTAAGCCTATAGAGAGAGAATTTCCAGGGCTATTGTCTAGGAATCTGGGGTAGGAGTTGAGCTCAGGAATCTGAGCATAAAGGAGTTTAATTGAAATAAATAAAAAAAATTGGAAGCAACAAAGATGTACTTCAAAAGGTGAATGGATAAACAAACTATGGTACATCCATATGGAATATTATTCCTCAATAAAAACAAATAAGCTATTACGCCATGACAAGAAATGGAGAACCTTAAATGCACGTTACTAAATGACATTGTGGAAAAGGTGCCATTATAGACACCTTTTCTACATTATAGACCAGTGGTTGCTAAGGGAGAAAAAGGCAAGAATGAACAGGTGGAGCACAGGAGGTTTTTAGAGTAGTGAAACTATTGGTATAATATTGTAATAATGGACACAGGAAATCATGCATTTGCCAAAACTGTTGAGATGGTACAACACTGAGTGAATACTCATACAAACTAATGGACTTCAGTTAAAAGAACCATTCACTATTAGTTTATCAGTTTAACGAATGTAACACACCAATGCAAGATGTCAATAATAGGTAAAACTATGGGCTGGTGATAGTGTAAATGAGGATACATTATATTTTTGTACAATTTTTATGTAAACAGTGACTGCTCTACAAAATAAATTCTATTATATAAATTATTAATTAATTAAAAAAATTTGTTCCTTCTAGGAAAAACCAAAAGTTTAAGGAATATAGAGCAGGACCATGCTCATCAGGGTCAAGCCAGAGACTCTCTTCACCTCCCTGTGAGGTGCGAGTATAGTGGTGGAAAGTATCCAGTGTTAGAGTCAGACAGAACCAGTTTTGAATTTCAGTTCTAACACATAGAGCTGTATGACTTTACACAACCTGCTTGGCTTCTGTGGTCTCTCCTCTGTCCTTTCTAATATAAAAGAGGAATAATCACATTAGTGATTACCATGTGGAGTGCTATAGAATTTAGAGGAATGATGCTTAAGAATATTTTAGTGTAGTTTCTGGTACCTATTGAATACTCAGGAGCTGAGAGCTGCTGTTACCTGGATTTGATGCGTGCTCTTTCCTAAGCTTGTCTGTGTGACGGTGGAATTGTGCCAAAGACCACCTATCTTAGTAGATAAAGCTCCGCAAGAGTCTTTGAATTTATCACAAATGATTTCAGTCACAATTATTGAGTACCTACTATGTGTCAGTCTGGTTAATGTACTGACAGAGGAAATGATAGTATTTTAGTAATATAGGCATATGTCTTCTGTATGAGGAAAATGATCCTGCTTCTGGAGAGGGAGATGTAAGTTATTGGAGAAGAGCATAAAAGGGAATGAATGAATGTTTAGGGCCTAGATGTAGCTTCTATGTTCCTGACTGGAGTGTGCTCACTACTGCCAGAACCACACTGCACCTGCCATAATTGCAATAGGTCACATGGAAATAGTGAAAAGACCCAAGACTAAGAATGAAAAAGGAGAATGGACAGAGTCAAGGAAATAATGGATCAAAGTAAAACTTAGGAGAATAAGGGGAGAACAAAAATATTATAAAAAAAGAAAAGAATTAAAAATGAGAAATGATTACATTTAGGAACCAAATTAAATGAAAAAAATTGAAATCTTTAAACCAAGATGAAATATCAATACTATAGGAGCCAGCAGGTGGCATGGTGGTTAAGATGCTGAGCTCCCACGTGGCCAACCACAGTTTGAGTCCTGGACCTGGCAGCTTGCTTTCTTACTTCCTCTCTCTCTCTCTCTCTCTGTCTTGGGTCAATTTAAAAAATCATAATGATGAATAAAATTAAAGTAATTCTTTAAAATATAAATAATATACACCAAAAAAGTAAAATTTTAAATAGTAGTAATATGAAAATAATTTTCTGTATAGTGTCAAGATAGAGAAATATAAAAAGAATAAAAACTAGAAAAAGATATGAAAATAATATATAAAATTAAAATTAATAGCATCCAGTGAAAGGGAATGTTAACAAATGAGAAGGTAATAAGATAAAGGCAACAGAAATAAGACAAATATTACAATAAATGAATTCTGAAAAAAGTTTAAAATAAAAGTTAGTGGATAATAAAAAGAAAACAAAAACCAGAGCCCTAAAAGTTGAAAATATGAAACAGGAAATGAAATAAGATGGGGAAAAAGAGAACAGTTTAAAGAAATACAGATTAGTCATAGTAAAACAAGGTAAAAATACTAAGTAAAAATTATTAAATATAAAAAGGGAATACTGGGAACCAGCAGTTAGCGTAATGGCTGTGTCGCTGGACTCCCACGTAGTCGACTGCGGTTCATGTCCCGGACCCGGTGGCTTAAAACTCACGCCGGGCGCGTGTAGTGTGCGTGCCCAAGATCCCGAGAGGAGAATGGAGGAGAAGGGATTGCGGCGTGACCATCCCCCCTGGGGGGTGATTTCTCGCTTTCTGTCTCTATGTCTCTCTCTGTCTGTCTGGCGAGCGCACGCGCCCTACAGTGAAAATCTCTCTCAAAAAAAAAAAAAAAAAGGGAATACTTAGTGGTGGTGGGGGGAAGCAGTAGAAAATGGGCAAATAGTTCAGTCAAAGTAGTGTCTTTTATTGGACATCTCTTCTCTAGTAGGACTGGCTGAAAGAAAGCCACTCCTCCAGAAAACACAGCTGGACTCTTAAGCAGGCAGATCATCAAGACTCTATTCATGCATGACAATTATATGGGACTATAGAATGTAATTCTGCTTTTCTGGATTCTGGATAAAGGGAAACTTATTGAGAAGCCCAATGTGATTTGCAGTGGGATATGTAGGGCCCAGTGAAGGGGAGAACAGAAAAAATGGATTTCCTTGTATGTTCCAGTAAGTTACAGCATATCTCCGCCCAAATTAGACTAAGGGATTCTGAGCCAGACCCAGCATAGTGAGACCTAGCATCTAGGCCTGGCACCAAGGCCATTCTTTGGGTGATCTTCATCTTATAACCCTTCCAATTTTTCTCTTTGCAAAATGACTTTTAAGTCTGCTTGTCTTTAGAGAGGGACAGATCATTTTCATCCCATGGTTCTCATCAGACTGTTTCACTGCACGCCATGGAGAAGGGAACACAAAAGGGGGTTGATTTCATTACTTATAATATTACTTCTTCTCCAAAGTATGAAGCAGCAATGATATATCTTGTGCTTGGCCAGGTATGGGGTGTAACATGAAGAATGGTAAGCCAGGTGCAGGGACTTTTTTTCTTGCTCTCCCCCCAAACCTCTTCTTTCTGCTGATCCCCACAACCTGCATTTTCCTGAGGGTCCATATCTCTGGACCCAAGATGCTACCCACCCCCTCAGGACTGTTCATATCTCCTCAGAGAACCCCCTTACCCATGTCCACCTCTAAGCAGTGGCCTCCTCCCTACCATGAGGATTTTTTAATGGGGTGAAAATGCCAGTCCCTGAAACTGGGGCCCTAGGCCCCCAGAGTCAAGCTGGGTGTGGGAGCCCCAGGGGTTGGGAGGGGTGGGGAGGCTGGCTGAGCTTGAAGAAGTGGAGGAGAGATATACACTAGTTAAGTGGGGCATCCCCATCCCATCTTCCTGCTCACCCTCCTTTACTCCCAAGTCCATCCCTGCAACACCCCCAATCACCTAAAGAAGTCACTCCCGGGCTCTGTCTGCAGAGATCCAGAGTGAAAGCAGGCAAGATGAGAACGACCTCGATCGTGGGCAAGTAGCTTTTTTTTTTTTTTTACATCCTTCAATAAAATTTTTATGAGGATCATTAAAAAAAAATGGTAAGCCACTGTCCATATCATCTAAGAATTTGTAACTTTCTATATAGTGGTTAACTATTTTCAAATAATTGGCATAGAATTAGAAACAGGAATATTAAAGTCAACAAGTATAAGCAGAGTACCTGCCTGATGTCTAACACTGTGTTGGAACTCCTGACTTTTTTGGGGGGGAGAGGGTTGTCATAGGGTATGTGTATTCCCTGGAGAGAAACAGAGAGAGGGAAAGTGAGAAATCACCCTCCACTCCCAAGGGGGTTGGCCACCCTGCAATCCTTTCTCTTTCATTCTCCTCCTGGGATTTTGTGCACACACACACACACACGTGCCCTGCATGATTTTCAAGCCACCAAGTCTGGGACTTGAACCATGGTTGGTCATGTGTGAGTCCAGTGCCTTAACCACCATGCCACCTGCCAGCCCTTCTAGTGATTATCTTAAAGGAACTTTCTTGAGTGGAAGAGAAATCCAACAACATAAAACGATTTATAAAAGTGCGGTACAAATGACAGGAGTTAACGCCATGTTGGAGAATTGTGCTTTCATGTAGTAGTGAGTGAACAAATAAATAAATAAATATTAGTTGAATAAATAAATGAACATGCCAGAACTAAAAGCAGAGAGAGAAGCCTGGAGGGAGGCATCTAGGGGTGGAAGGAGGAGTGGTTAACACGAGGGGACAGAAAGGGAAAGCTGTTGATGCACTAGTCATCATTGCAAAAGATGGATTAGAAAAAAACCTAATTCCTTTTCAAACTCTGTGTCCCTAGACAGTGTCTGGAACAGAAGAAATAAAGCCTACTTGGCTTCTTTTTTTCCTTGGTATTAACTTTCTCCTGCCTGCAGCAAGGGGGAGGGGTTGTGAAGGATGTTTGGGTATTACTGAAAAACTAAAAAAGAGACTGACTCCCAGGAGAAAGGGAAGCTCCAAGGGAGGGAGCAGGCGGTGGGCCAAAGCCAATGGCCGCCAGGTGAGTCTGCTTCAGATAACGGATATCCCTCTCTTTACTTCTCATAGCGAAGACCCCAGGACGGCAAGGGCAAGAAGGACGAGGGGGAGGAGTCAGACACAGATGAGAAATGCACAATCTGTCTGTCTATGCTCGAAGATGGAGAAGATGTGAGGTAAGAGACCACCTCTTCAATGTCCTCTCCCTTCTCTCACAGGTACTGGAGGCCAGTCACTGCCCTGTGTCCTGGGGGTGGGTGTGCTAGCTTGCTTGTACATGTCAATGTGCCAAGTGTACAATAAAGGGTTTTGGGTTGCCCTGGGAAAGGGGGTGGGGAATGTCCTAGATGTGTGGTGCCATGGGTATGGGCTCCTGGATATAAAGTGTAAGAGAATAATACGATGTCCAGCTTGCATGGCTCTAAGACAAAATCACGGCTTTGTTTCAGGCTGAGGTGAAACAAAGGAGGAGAGCCTTGAGGCTCTACTTCCTGGCACGGCTTCCTATCAGCCACACTCCATGGCAGGCCTCCCAAGATCTCTTTGGCTAGTTCCCAGTGAGCCTGGGTGTGTGTGTCTTCTGGTCTCTAGCTCTTGGCTCTTGGCACAGCCCCAGGTCCTTCTCCCCTGCAGGTTCCCTGAACCTCCCCCCTCTCTTGCAGACGCCTACCATGTATGCATCTCTTTCACCAACTGTGCGTGGACCAGTGGCTGGCCATGAGCAAGAAATGCCCCATCTGCCGAGTGGACATTGAGACACAACTGGGAGCCGACAGCTGAGGGAGGAATTAGCCGGTGGATGCCCCATTTTCCTTCTCCAGGTCCCCCCACGGCCATAGCCCTTGCAGCCAAACTTTGCCTTCTGAGCCATTTGATGTAGAGGAAAAGCCTGCAAGCACATTTTGTGGAAAGAGGAGTTGGTGGTATCAGTGTCTGAAGGAAAGGAGGGGTGGGGGGCAGACCCACCCATCCAGAATGGAGACTGCCCCCATCCGCCTTGCCGCGTGGGAGGGAGGGAGCTGGCCGTATACCCAGAGCAGGGGAGGGAAGGGGGGGCCCAGGCTGCGAGAACCTAGAGGTGATCCTGGAGGTACTAGCTGATAGACCGGCCCCTCAATCCTGTCCTTGGAAGGATTGTATATATACCTCTCGACCACGTAGAAACCATGTAGGGGTCTCTAGCTATTTCTGTGGGTGGCAGCCGGAGCATGTTAGCTTAAGAAAAATGTTGTGTGTGGTGCTCTAGTCATCTTGTGGTGGACATGTCGCTATTACCGAATTCGCACCAAATATTTCTCATTGAGTTTCTTGTTTTGGTGCCTGACTGAACCAACCAACCAACGACAGCCCCAATCTTCCCGTCTTTGTGAGAGAAAAGGAAAAAGGAATCAATGGTGAAAAAAAAAAAGTCAAATCCTGTTTACAGTGAAAAAGGATGATATTTTTTTCACCCAGGTCGGGAGAGGGGGGTTCTCGTTTGTTTTGTTTTTGGTTTATCCTTGGCTTTTGTTTTTCTCATGTTTACAGTGCACGGAGTGTGGAAGGGACTTCTAGGAAAGGGGAGGACTGAAAAAGCAGCAGGTAGGGTCTTCACTGGGCCTTGGAAGGTTCTGCTGAGGTGGGGAAGGCAGAGCGTGAGCTGGTAAAGGGAGGAGTTGTCTTGAGGGAGGGCTCCCTGGTACCAGGGCTTGTCTGCCCTGTTCTTCTGGAGCCCTAACACCCATGCCCACTCCAACTTCTTCCTTTAGGCTGTGTGCTCTTGCCCAGTTGCAAAGAGGCAATGTAGCCACTGCCTCCTATGCAAAAATTAACCAGATGTTGCAGATAAGGTGGCATAGGTGTGGACTTGGTCTCGGCCAGAGTACTCCCAGCTAGTGCTCAGGGCTGAGGTCAAGCACTGTGGACCTAAGGAGGAACATGAGCAGCCTCAGGATGCTCAAGTTTTGGTCCAGATCCTGAAAGATGGCCCTGGCGCTATAGCCCATTTGCTGGGGTTGGAAAGCCCTGTGTCCTTAGCTTCTGGTTCTTTCTCTGACTCTTTGGTAACCTTGGGCAAGTCCCTTTCTTCCTCTGTGCCTCGGTTTCCTTCTTCTTCAAGTGGGAGAGAAACAACATGCATCCCGCTTCCCACTCCCTCTACCTCACCTAGGTGTTGTGAGGATTAATACTCTGTCCAGCATGTTCTATGCTCTCTTCCAGGAACATTTTGGGGTTTAGGGGTGGGAATGCTGGGAGAGACAAACCTGAAAATTCTGAGTGACACCAGGCAGTGTGTCTTTCCATATCACTCCATAATTTTTCTAAACCCCAAAGGGATCAGAGAGATGAACGACAGAAGAGTGGAGATGTGAAAAGCCACCAAATCCCAACCCAAACTCAACTTCCTCTACCCATACATGGAAGATCAACTGGAATTCTGTGATCTTCCCTTCCCACCGCCCTCTGCTCTCAAAGCCCTCCCTTCTCCTCAACCCCAACCCATCTCAATGCCCTTATAACAGCAAGGCAATGGGGTGCAGAATACTTATCATGTACATGAAAAATACCATATGGTGAAAGAAATTTGAGCCTGTTTAGTGTTACCAGAAGAAAAACCAGGGCCAATGGGCAAAGATGACAGGGAGGCAGATTTTGGCTTGAGTAGAGCCTTGTAACCTAACTGGCTCTATCTCATGGAGGAATGGTTGCTCTAGACACCATTCACGGGGCAAGCAGAGTGAGGGGAAGTGGCTCCTGATGGGAGAATACTCAAGAACCCAATTTACATGAAGTCCCTCTCAGCACTGATATCCTGGTGTTCTATAAAATCTTTATTGAGTGCCTACTGGTGCAAGGACTGGGAAGGACAATTGCAAAGAAGACAATGGCCCTGTCTTGAGAGTCTTGTGGTTCAGCTGAAGAGAGAAGACACATCCAATAGTGCAAAGATGGTGAATAAGGTTCAAGGTAGGCAGCAAAGAACATTACGTTGTCCAAGTCAGTGAGTCTGGGATGTGAACAATGTTTCTAGGTTTAAAGTGGAGAAAGTATATCTGAGGCAGGATTTGGGGGAAAGCGAGTTATTGATAGACACAGGAAACTGGAAATTCTGCATCTTCCCTAATGTCTAGGTCAAAACCATGAATTCATCAGAAGATGGCTTTGGCCTGGAGGAAGGCCACTCCTCTCTTAGTCTTGTTCTTTCTTCTGAGGCTGGTTTGAAAGACTGGTAAGGTGGAAGACAGTCAGTGGGGAAAACAGGATGGAGCTAGACTGGGTTCCAGTCTTGGCTCTTCAATGACACAGCGGGCAAAGCTAGAAATACCCTCAACTGACCCTCGTCTCTCTGGGCCTCAGTTTCCTCAGCTACAACACAGGAGGCTGGGTTGGATGCTTGTTAACTTTCCTTCCAACACTCACACTCTGTGATCCTCCCTAACATCTTTCCAATCGATAGAACTGTGTGCTCACAGAGCTGTTGAAAAGGCCTTTCTGTGGACACAACATCTGTTTCAGAGGCTGAGGGCACACGTGCTGCGTGAGAGTGGGACCTGGTCCCCCCTCCCTCCCAATTCTCTGCACTCCCTGAGTGCCCCAGGCTAATATTAGGGTCTGGGGTGGGATCTCCCAGAGGGGAGAGGTCCGCTGCTAACTTTGGGAATAGATCCTGAAAACCCCTCCCCGTCCCATCTCTGGGGCTCTTGTACCCTGCAGTTACAGGAGATAGTGAAGAATCAGAGTCCTCCCAGCTCCTGCTTTCTGACCTGGGTAGCCACTGGGGTAAGAAAGGAGTAGGGCTTGGGCTTCTGCTCCTTTGGAGTACCCTGTTGGCCATAGAGCCTGGGAGAGTGGAGAAGACGCAGGGCCAGGCCTCAGCATCTCACATCCGCCACCTGCAGGAGGAGCGACCATCTGTAGTCCTCCTTCTGTTCAACTCAAGGGACTCAGACCCTTTCCTGACTGAGACGCATGAGTGCCTTCTGGGGTGAGAGCAGCTCCAGGATTCAAGTTGGGCCTCTTAACCGCAGCCATGACTGCGGCGGGTCTACTGAGGATGCCAATCAATCAACCCAATGCCACAAACCCAGCTGGGCACAGGCAGGGGCAGGCAGGGGCCACTGACTCCTCTACCTGGCCAGGCCCCTTCCACCCACTGTTGCCCTTGCCCACCACCTGTGGCAGGAGTTAAGCTCCTCTTCTGCAAATGTTCCCAGCCTCCGTGCAAGTATTCTTAACTCTTACGCCTAATGAACAAGCACAGTTTTTTCAATGGTGTAGAAAAAGCACCAGATTTTCTTTTTTTCCTGAAGAAATCCCCTAAGTCCCCCACCTGCTGGTGGGACAAACACTCCCCTTGTGGGGCTGTAGCAACGTCTGTCAGGTCCCCTCGTGTTTCATCTCCTGCGCGCGTAGAGCAAATGCTAGAGCGATTTCAGCTGATAGAAAAAACAAAAATGAAAAAAAAAAAACAAAAAACAAAAAACATGGCACGTTGCTAGTTTACAGGGTTTTGTGAGTTTAAATGCCTTATATTTAACAATCATAATTTATGACTAACTTGTAGATATCGTGGGTTCTTATTTAATTATTTTTATAGTTGTTTTGCATTTTTAATTATAATTTATTTATTTAGAAAGGATACTAATTTTTTTTATTACTCCTATTACCTCATTTTGGCGTTGTTTCTGGGAGTGGAATGCTTTGCATGCATTGGTACGATGACAAACAACTACGAATACAAAAAAAAAATTAAATAAAATTCCGCGAACTTTATTTCGTCCAAACTATCAGGGTGTGTGATTGCAAGCTGTCCTACTGTGGTGCTGGCCTCTTTGGATACATTCCATACGAAATGCAAACCTTTGATTCTGTATGCTGTGATCTAGTGAAAAACTCCAATATAGTGACTGTATTTAGCACATATATAAATATAATTTGCACTCGTCAGCAGACTGGGGTAATCCTTTCACTTGCTACCCTCGGCACCCACCCCCCAACCCCAACTACTCATGATTAACCTGCTTTTCCTTCTCTCCTCACCCTTCCCACAAACTTGCCCACCTGCCTTTGTCCTCTGTGAGAGGTCTTAGAGCACTAGAGGTCACTGCCTCCACCTGGGCTTTAGCACTCTGTGGTTCCAGAATTGGAACCCTTTAGACATGGCCAGTAGGAGCATCTGAAAACCAAATAGCCTGATTTGTTGGAACAAACCCTGAACTGGGGAGCCAGGAGGCTGGGGTTTTAGACCAGCCCTATTATAGACTTCCCCATGACCTTGAGCAGTCACTGGTCCCCATGCATCTCAGGTGTCTGGACTGGGGCGAGAGAGGTAAACTAGGTCCCTCTGATTCAGATAGAATATGACACAGATTGGGTGGGAAACCGTTGTCCTGTGCTTATCTCATCTTCTTAGAAGAGAAGATGGGGAAAGAGAAAGGATGGAAGGAAGGAGGAAAAGAGAAGGAAGTAAAAGAGAACAGAGCAGGTTGAGAATTCATCTAGTGATCAGCTCAGAGTAGATGTCTGGTAGTAGTCCTCTACTTTCATAAACAACGTCCTGCAGGTGACAGGGAGGTAACTTAGGTAGACATATCCCTAGACATGACACATACCCTTCCACAAGCTTTGGGTGGTCATTTGGAGAGTTGAAATCCATATCTTATTAGACACAGAGATGAGATAGGCAGGACAGAAGCCCACTACTATGGTGTCTGAGATTGGCATTCCAGTCCGATCATCTGGACCCTTCGTTGTGGAGACATCATCCTTGACAACAGGTTCTAGACTCACAGTGTCTCCTCCCACTTTCTGCCTTTGCTCCATGGGAGCTGCTATGGAGAACCAAGGGGTGGGCCTCCATTCTCACTGGATGATACAGGAGTGATGGGAGAGGGCTGGGGAAGCAGTGGCATCAAAGGCTGGCACAGTGGAGAATCCAGATGCCTTTGAGTCAAAAGGAGAGAGAGAGGAGGTCATGCCCCCAAGAGGACTGAGCAGGCTAGGACTTTCTTCCGCTTCCTCCCTTCCTTTCCAGCTCATTCTTCCCTCTTCCTCTTGGTATCACTGCCTTTGCCTGGTGAGGAGGTAGAAATCCACCCTCTACATGAGGCCCCTTGGGGATGGTGCTGATGGGGAAGGAAGCACAGGCCTTTTGCCACACTGCCTGGCCAGGTCATGTGAGTGCTGGGCTATGGGTGGTCCCTAAGCCCCAACTCTGCTCTATCTGGGTATAGGCTGCCCTTCCCTGCCTGCAGCCTACCCAGCTTCCCCCTGCCTCCACCCCAGAGCCTGACTTTCCTTGGAAATGGCCTGTGAGTGGCCCACCACACTGGTGAGGACAGGACCACCACACTGCCTGGTCTGGCAGACACTGCCCCCTTCACAGGGCTCCTGGATGGGCATGCCTTATGCTGCTCTGGGGGGTCACAGTGGGAAGGAGCCTTTGCCCTGGCTGGTCTGTACCCCACGCTCGAGCCTCCTCACCCCACCTCGCCTGCTATCCCACCCCCACCCCTCCCCCGGCCTTGGATGTGGCTCTTTTCTCAGCTGTGGAGCCAGCCACACTTGGCCCTCAAGGGGGTAATTTGGTTGCCCCTGGTAAGTGAAAGGATTATCCTCAGTGTTGATTGTCCTTTTTTGTAATCCTCCTGCTGTTCTGTTCTGTTGTGCTGTGCAACATTTTGCTACATAGACTATTTTATAGCAGAAAGCTAGAAGAATATTTATTATGAATATTAAAGCAATAGTGCATCAATGAAAAGGCGGAGACATTAGGAATTGTGTAAATGCTTAGATTCACTTTTGGTGGATTTTTTGTACTTTATTTATAACTAATAAAAATGAACTGCATTGCTAACTACACTTACCTGTGCACTGTGTTTATTTCTATGTGTACCCAGGACATAGCTGAAGGAATCACAGATGCTTCAAGATATGGGGTCATATCAGTTATCTATTTCCCACTGACTGGCCTCATTTCACCTACGCTATTGCCCTCCTCCCTTTTCTCCTCCTTTCCCCCTTCCCCTTCCCTTTATCTCTTTCCTCTTCTTTCTCCTTCTCTTCCTTCTTCTTGTCTCTTTTTTTTTTTAATCTCTCGAAGAATCTGTTCAATAGCTATGGATCAACAATTTAATTAACCTGTTTCCTAAACTTTTCAGAAACTTTCCTCAACTTTAGTTAATAGATATTCAAGGGAAAATTTCCATTTTCTAAAAGTTTGCTTAGTTCTTCCAGTAAGGAAATAGAAAGAGGAGAGTGGGTATCCCTACTAGGGTCTTTATGCCATGATCCACCCTAGCCCCAGCCAGCCAGGATCCTGGACGTGCATTCATGTGTCCAGTGTGTATAGGCAGACCTCCCCATACATACCAAGGGCCTTCCCACGTGACTTCAGCATTGCAGAGTGTTGTGTTACTGCTGTGCCACTGCAGCAAGCCATAAAGTTCCTATTTTGATCAGCTTT